AGGCGAGGAGACGGGGCACGCTCATGGTACCTCTCTTTCTGGAAAGGCGGCGACCGAGGGGGAGATGCTTGGAGCCTGTTAAACCAGGAGAGGCCTGGAGAGCACGGGTGAGGGGTGCTGTGCCTCATATGACAAGACACAGGGACATCAAAAGGAGCTGCCAAGAACAAATACCTTCTCAAGCACGCGACATGGCACTCCAGCACTCATTGCCACGGGAGGGGGGATACCAGGGGAGTAGCTGGGGCCAAGAATGCAGCTACACAAATGCAGCAGTTAAACATCAATCCAGAGCTGTTACATAAAGAGATACCAGGAAATCCCTCATATTTGTCTCAGAGATCCCATTAATCGCATGTCGACGTATGGTTATTCCAGGAGCATGCTTGCCCTGCTCTTAGGCAGCTTCCCTAAGCATCTGCCACAGCAGCACACCCTGCACCCCGAGCCTGGCCCAGCAGAGCCACGCTATGGTGTTATTTCCTACAGGCTCAGCAAGCAGCTCGAGCTACATCTCCCACCCTTTGGCTGCGTTCTCCCTCCCAGGCTGGGCACTCAAGCTTTTAACCTCCAGAAGCAGGCCCATTTTGAAAGGCATCACCACCACCTACCCAGTGCGGCAGAGATGCCAGCCGGTGCTTTCTCGTCGCTGCAGCAGGAGGTTGGTAGGAACGAACGATGGCACGTGGCTTGCCGGGACCCATCCTGCCAGCAGCTCTCCCAAAGGAAGAAGTGATCCCAAACACATTTTCTGAGAAAGCTGGTGCTTTCCGTGTCCTGAGGCTATTTACCAGCTCAAGCCCTTTGCAGGACTCTTATATGTAGTTTCTAGAGCCCAGCTCAGGCTCAGAGCTGCTCAAATTGGGGCAGTTCAGGGCACACCCATGAGGAACCACTACTGAAAGTACGTTAAAAGCAAGTGGAGGGGCCTGCAGACATTAGGAAATATCCAAGCTGGATTTAAGTGCCTTCAGCAGGGTATGTGCTAACCTGAGACACCTGAGTGCTATTCTGGAGATGATAGCCTCTGGTGTATGCTTTTCTGTTTGTCTGTGGGGCTAAGCACGATCCCCTCTGTGCAAATAATAAGAGACCCCCCTGGTTCTGTTTGCTGGCCATCATGCTTCTACATTAGAAGTTCATGTTCACGCTTCATCCTGGAAACCATCTTGACTTTGCCTTATTTTTACACTTCAGTGGCACCAGAACATGGTACTCTCTGAAAACCAAAACAATAGGCTGGAACAGAGCAGGACAAAAGGATTTTAGAACAAAGGACCCCGCTGTCCCTGGTTTGCAACAGCGATGCTTCTGTACGGCATCTACACTGTCCCCTCGCTTCCCTGCCAAAGCTGTGAAGTTTACCTGAGAAATTTGGTGGGCATTCACGCAGTTATTGCTGCTGGAGACTTTGTGAGCAGTTGTAGATGACTTAATGTGACTTAAGAAACAAGTGAACAGCATGGTTTCCGTTAACAATGGGCTGGGTAATATTGATCTCTAGTTGCCCAAACTGGGAGTAGCACCGTGACGCTCCCAACTGCCTGTCCCGGTGTCCCGAACCTCCTGCCTCTGGGCTTTGCGGACAAAGAGACGACCTGGCGGTTGTATCAACGAAATGGCTCCCTCTGAAAGGAGGTGTGATGCCATCTTCCACCCAGCTAGTGGAGACCCTGAGCAAAGCGTTGTGGAAATGAAAATCAGGCACCAATCCGTCTGCTACCATTAACGGCCAGGGAAGAAACGCGCGTGTACCTGTGTCCACGTGTAAAAAGGTGCGCAGGCTGCTGGCAGGGACAGGCAGCCCTGGAATACTTTGGATTTTGCAGCTGAAGGGCTGAATGTGGATATTGGCTCCACGTGGGGCAAAGAAGAGAGAGGAGCCAAAGGTGTCCCCGCAGGCGAAGGGAGAGGAAAGGGGACGGTGCAGCAGCAGGAACCCTGCGCTCAGCCCAGCCGGGCGCCAGCAGCCCCAGCTCCACACCTGAGCACAACCCTTCCAGCACAGCCCCCCGCTCCTGAGCCAGCTCCTCTGTTTGAGGAACTCCAGTAAATATACGTTGTGGTTTTTTTTCTTTCTGAGCCACAAAGGAAACCTGTCTCTTGCGGACGATTTGGTTTGGGCAGAGAGGAACGAGAACCTTGTGAGAGGCCAGAAAATGCGCCTTCAGTTCTAGCCGTGATATATCCCGCTCATTATTTACTCAGCCAGCCCCTCACGCGGTTACGTGCCAGACACCCCACTCCCTGGCCGTGCTCTCCAGGTCTCCCCTCCTGCACCCGCCACTTCTTCTTCTCTGCCCCGGTTTTACGGCAGAGCCGATGCCTCCCCGCGCCCTCCCCTCGCATGGGTCTTCTCTACCAATCTGCTTTTTAAAAAATTATTTCTATCTCCGTCCAGTTTGATTCCTGTTTTTGCCCTCTTTTCCTTGTCTTCTTTCCAAACTGAGAATTTTCAGCTTGGGGTAGGAATGGCCAAAGTGTAACTTCAGTTTTATTACATGGCCTTTTGCAGCCTGGCATGCAGCATTCAAGTTGGAGCGGAGTGTCCTAGCTCTGTTGCATGCCGAGATCTGTTGTCCAGATGAATTAATTCCAGATTATATGTGGGTGTGGACTTCAGCTGGGCAAAATTTGGATACCCTGGTTTAGTCATTATTCTCTGATGAATCTCTTGGTGACAGTCTTTGCCCCTATTGTTCTGAGGTGAGCCCCATGGCAAGAAATGTGAAGGCAAGAAACAAAAGAATATAAAGAAAGGTTACGAAATCAAATTCAGTAAGGCAGGGTTATTGTCCCTCTATTCTGCCTCTTCTGTCCTCCATTTGAGATTGGATTTTGCAGGAAAAAAACACCACGGACAGACAGACCGAGTTTGCAGGGCAGGTTCTGGTGGGGAGCAGGGGGCCGGCAGCCCGTCCCACCGCATCTCCCTGGACGGCGAGCAGCACGCCGGGACCTACACGGCCCAAATTAAACCGCAGAGAAAGGGAGGAGGAAGTTATCATCAATTCTTAACATTTTATTTCTTTACTGGGTTAAACAAGGAGCGGAGAAAACCTCTGCCCCAAAATACAACAGAACTGAAAGCATTACAGGTACAGAGACTATTGAACACAGAGAGTAGTAGGATAATATTTTTAATACAACTGAATTATAGCATGGTTTTGTGTTTTTGTTGGTTTTTTTCGTTTGTTTTCTGTCAAACCATTTTGGAAAATAAATGTAATAGGAACTAGTGCAAAAAAGTTCTAAACATGAAGCACAGTGTATAAAATGGCATAAGAAAACTGTCCCCTCGAGGACACAGTCACTTTCTTATGACAGAGGGGAGAAAGAGAAACAGAAGGGGGGTGGGAACAGAGAGGGAGGGTCCGGGAGGCAGAGGAAGAAAGCTGGAAAGAAAGAGAAACCGGGCAGGGGGATTAGAAAGAATATTTTGACTTCAGCTATGCTTTTTGCATTACAGGTACAGAGACTATTGAACACAGAGAGTAGTAGGATAATATTTTTAATACAACTGAATTATAGCATGGTTTTGTGTTTTTGTTGGTTTTTTTCGTTTGTTTTCTGTCAAACCATTTTGGAAAATAAATGTAATAGGAACTAGTGCAAAAAAGTTCTAAACATGAAGCACAGTGTATAAAATGGCATAAGAAAACTGTCCCCTCGAGGACACAGTCACTTTCTTATGACAGAGGGGAGAAAGAGAAACAGAAGGGGGGTGGGAACAGAGAGGGAGGGTCCGGGAGGCAGAGGAAGAAAGCTGGAAAGAAAGAGAAACCGGGCAGGGGGATTAGAAAGAATATTTTGACTTCAGCAGTATGCTTTTTTTTTTTTTTTCACCTCGCCACCACGTACTGTAAAAGGACCTTTTTTTTGTAGGTCTGAGCTCTGTAACCACCGACATTTCACAAGCACTTGAGAAGGGTTCGGTCACAAGCAGCCTGGTCACACACACAGGCAAAGCCGCCCCGGCGGGGGTGCTCCGGTCCCTGCCGAGGTCCCCCCCGTGCCCCTCGCGCCTGCCGGCGTGCCGGGACCCCCCCCCAGCCCGGCCCTTGCCGGCAGCAGAGGGGCAGAGGGACCTCGCCTCGGCTGCCAGAAACAGCATCTCCCACACTTTGAACGGAGGCGGGCAAGGACGCTTTCTTTGGGGCTCTCTTCAGTACTCTCCCTTAAAACGGTTCTCGTCGAACCACGGCGTTTGCTTTTCTCGCTTTGTGGCATCCCTGCCAGACCAGCGCATTTAATTTCTTCCAAATTTAAACTCCCATGAACATGTGGGAGTATCTCTGGTTTTGAAGGCATCCCGTAACTGTGATGTCTGAATGTATTGGAGGCTAGAAGAAGCTGGATTCATTTTGGTTTGAAAAGAAAACAGAGCTTGTTTAGAGGGATGGCTGGGGGCACCCGCCACCAGCCGAGGACCTAGAGAAGAAGACATGCCTCCTCCCAGGCAGCAGCACCTCAGCAGCGAATTCCCACGCGGAACGTGCCCGAGCGGTTCCCAAGGTGTGTTACCCCGGACTGAAACCGTCCTGGTAAGAAAGGCAGCTCTCCCATTTGCTTTCACCGCGGAGCCGCTCAACCTACTGCCCCCAAGAAACTGGCTGGATGCTATTTTAAGTAGAGCTGGTTGGAATTCCTTACAAATTGCTATTCTCTCCGAATCCACTGCCACCAGTTCCAACTGTGCGAGCAGAAAAAGTGTGATTGATTTTTTTCATTTTATTTTTTTGAAAATGAAAGGTTTTGTGGGAAAGGGCTGTTCTTGATACATTTCTCAATTTGAAAAAAAATTGGTCATAATTATCAATATGGCTTGTTTTGACAAGTTTCAAAATTAAAAAAAAACAAAACTGTCTGGCTTGAAATGTCTTTTTGTTTTGCAACTCAAGCACGTACAGTTCCCAAATACGTTTAAAAATGGGAAAACCAAACCCAAATTTCATAAGCCAAACCTAATTTTTTTTTTCGAGTTTCAGTTTACAACAAGCGAAGCTGTCGACTTCCTGGGCTGAAAAAGGATCATCACAAAATGCTAACGAGACTGGAAACCGCTCCCAATCTTGTTTCGAACAAAAGTACTAGATACGCAGCCTGTGACGTGAAGCTGGAGGAACGGTGTTTAGAAACGCAGCCCACCTCCCGCCCGAGAACACCCAGCCCTGCGAGCCGGGGCTGGGAGCTTCGATAAAATCCCAACAACTGCTAAAAGGGATTATTTTTTTTTTTTTTTGGTTACGATCCTTATTTTAACTTATTTATCCTTCGCGGACGGCCACAGCGCTTCCTCTGCTCCCTTCACCCCAGCAGGGCAGAACTGCAGGTCCCTTTGGAAACCGCCCTGGCGCAGCTGATGGCGGTGACCTCCCTCGCAGGGTCTCAGCGCAGCTCTGCACGACCCGGGGCAGAGGTAAAACCCCTCCTTCCCCTACGCCCGGCGCCCCCCGCCCGGCGGGACGAGCATCCACCGGCCTGCGTCCAGGGAGGAGGCAGCTGCACGTCCTGCACAGGCCAAGCTGCAGGCGGCCACGTGTGGGACCCCCCCCGAGGACCAGCCTGTGGGTGGTGGGGCGAGCCCCGTTTTTGGGAGCCCCATTTTTGGGAGGATGCTCTTCTCTGCTCAGCCACGGGGAGCGTGGTCGGTGCTGGCTTCATTGTTTGAGATGGAGCCCGGGGGCTGGGGCTGCGGGAATGGTGTAAAACACCTGGATTTTCAGCAGTCGGGTCCTGACTCTCGGCTGGCACTCGGAGGACAAGCAGAGCAGGCTTTCCCTATCCCCTTCCCTGCAGCGATGCACAGGGCTGGAAGCAGTCGCCCAAAGAGAACACCCAAAAAGAGCTGCTGAAAAGCTTCACTCCTGAAATAAAACTAAATGATGCTTGGACCTGTGCAGCCCCCCCAGAGCTGCCGTGATCCAGGAGTCCCAAACAGGCTCCTCCTGGGGGGAGAAGGGGTGATCACGGAGTTTCCTAATGTAGGTACCTCTGTCACCCCGCTGGGATGCCCAAGAGCTGACTTTGATGGGTTGAAGTAGATCGTTATTAACGTCCTGCCTGAACATCAGACACTGCCCTTCCTGACCTTTCAGGTATAATTTAAGGGAGATTTATACCCCCATGGATGGGAAGCCACAGGGCAGCTCAAAAAGTCTGTAAACAAAATTGTCTGCCACATCGCATAGATTTTAATAGGGATTTTCGCAGAATCCAAGTACGTTTCTGTCCCGATTTTTCTCTACCAATTTCTATAGGCATTCCTTTCCAGGGTAGTAGCGAGGTATCATATTATAATTTATCACAAGCCGCTGCATGGCTTTTTGAGGGCAGAGCCTTCAGTCCCAAGGCTGAGCACCAGGCAGCGCCCCTCCCTGCAGGATGGGGGGTACCCTGTCCCACCGGCCGCGCAATCGGCCCCGCTCCGTGCTGTCAATCACCCACCTCCCCTGCCAACGCGGCGCGGGGAGACCTCGCCGGCCAGAAGGGATGGACAGAGCTCGGCAATGGGAAACTTCATCGCATCGCCGAGGAGGATCCTGCCGCGGGAGCAGCAGATATCAGGGATTTTCTTTTTTCTTTTTTTAAACGCGGGCAGAGGCACCGTCTCCCAGCATCGCCTGCAGTCCTGAGTGGCAGTGAATGAACTGCCCTGACATCTCCTATTGAAGCAAAGCAAAATGTGTTGAACAAAAACCATTTCAAGATGTTTTCTGAGTGTTGCCAAGTTACTCAACATGTTCTGCTTTAGTTGTCAGATGCTTTCAAAGCGATTTCCCTAACTCAGAGCACGAATGGTGAGGGCTCTCCCTGGGAATCTTTTGCCTGGGGCTACCATGGATCTGTATTTTCATAAGAAAAAGGCTCAACTGATGATTAATCTTCACCAGAGGAAGCAGGGCCTTTCTTTGGGATTTTTCTTCAGTTATTTTTAATTAATTTGTACAACTGGCAGTTACATTAAAGTGCAAAACCCAGGGCTAACGCTCCAGCCGGGCAGGACCCGGCTACCTTTCCTCCCGCAGCCCCATCTGCTCTGCCCGCTCCCCTGCCCGCTCCCGCATCCAGACCCTGCGGGGACAGCATCACCCCTCGGCTCCCCCGGCGCCCCGGGGCACAGAAAGCCTCTTGCCAGGGAGGGCAGGGAGGAATCGCTGCTTTCCGATCGGCATTTTTCTTCGAGCAGAGAGAATTTTACCCACTGAAGGAAAGGTTGGGTTTTACATATTAATCCCAATGCATGGCGCCTTCTTTGGGGAGAAGAAATAAGATCATTGAATGAAAAGGAGAAAGCACCTTGGTTTTAAATTCCCATAGGATAAATCCTGGTGTTTTCCAAGGTCCCAGGTGGCTGTAGGAGCGTGGCTCTGCAAAGGGCTCCTGGTCCCAGGGCTGCATGGGGCACAGGAGGGGTTCGGGCTGAAGCGTACCTGCACGCACAGGGCAAAGAAACCCTTTCTCTCCTTATCACAGGCACATTCACTCCATGTTTTTATAAAAATAATGTCAGTGGCATTAACTGAGACAATGTTAACGTCTCCTTTCTGGACTTCTCTCTTGTGTAGCAAAGAGAAAGCTAATATGGGTGGAGGATTATTAAGGTTGTAATGTCAGACCAAAGAGAAGATTTTTATCTGACGGCCTTATAATGATGGACTGTGACATACACCGCTTCCAGCTGCTCTGTCCTGTTCTGTGAACAGCCTAGTCTGGATTCATTTAACGAGATTGGCAAAGTGTTGAATACAGCATATGGTGCCCTAAAACCACAGAACTTATTGACAGCAGCCTAGACTCGCTAAATAAAAGAACTCCTTCCAAAAGCCTTGGTGTGTGAAGACTCAGCACTTTCCTTCCAGTCACACTAGGTAAAATCCCAGCCCTGCGCCTGCCAGCGCGGCTCCGCACCCCGCGCGCTCCCCCTGCCCGCAGACCCGGCACGTTATCCTCACGTGAACACCGCTTGGAAAGCCGCAGCTCGGAAAACGTGTGGATCTCCTCTGGCTACAGCATAACTGCCCTGCAGAGCCTCCTTGCTCCCCGGCTGAAGCAACTACAGCTCCTCAGTAATCACACTAAAGACCCCATTTTTGAAACGGCTCAGCTTTCAGACCATTCATTGGGATGTAGCGCGGGCTCCCTGCCTCCTGAGATGAAGCTCATCAGCTGATGCTACGGAACATGAAGACGTTTGTCACAGCTCCCAGGTTATTCCAGCAAAACCCTGCCAGCCTCCCCTAGTCCCTGAAGATAACTTGGGCTGTTTGACCTCACTCCCGCAGCTCTGTGGAAATCGCCCATCACAAAACCTCCGCACTCGGCGCCACCAGAAACCGCCCGAGCCTGGACTGACACCAACGCACTGGTCCCTCGCTCTGCTCGCCGGCAGTGCAGAAGAGCTTCAAGGCAGGCAGAAGGGCACGCAACCCCTCAAGAACGGCATTTGCACTGGATTCGCACACAGGCCCGCACACGGGGTGCAGAGGAGCCAGCCCGTACCACCACGCCGCCTGCCAGTGCGCAGGCTCGGGCGCTGCTCAGCGTCTCACCAGCAGACAATGAATAGGGCCAGTGACTCAGGGCCACTTGCTGACGCACCACACTGGGCTATTCTTCTCTCTCTAGATGAGTCGTTCAAAGATTGGACGCAGCCTATCTCTGAGAGAGGCGCCTGGAATTAGCTTAACTCTTGGCAGTACATGAAAAATCTAATTTCCTTAAGAAGGAACTGGATCTGGCTGTCTCGAGGCAGGCACAGGACTGTGCTCCCTCCCTCGGTCTGGCTGTATGCTTTTGCTAGTCATCAGAGCAGCTACACAACTCATTTCTCAGCAGCAGAGCAAACGGAGGAGTCGGATCCCTATTTGCACGTCCCAAGTTCTTAGACTGGTGTAAACTAGACTGAAAATATACGGACGCTGTGAGGAATAGTCAAACGAGAATGGTCCTACCTTTTCTGGGTAGCAACCGCAAGGAAATCTGCTGGGGGAAACACTCTGCATCTTCCGTGAGCACCACCTCTCCTAGCCCAACACCCAAGGGACAGCGGGTTCACAGGCTTTGTATCTGCGGGACTTTGGTAACAGGCAACTGACAACGTGTAAACATCACCCCAAAGCTCTGAGATTCAAGTCAAAGCAGAAATCAAACATTCAGCTGCTTCTCAGAGCCTCTTTGGTCTGGAAATGGGCTGGAAACGTCAGGAAACCTGTCCTTCCCACGAGATGCCCGGTACTTCCTTCTTCCAGCCGGGTAGGAAGTAGCTTTGCTCATGGAGCTCTGCTTGGTTTTGTTTCACTGCAACAGACCAGAAACCACAAAACTCTTAGTCCTCAACTCTGTGACTTCTTGGACCCCCGCAGGGATCCGGGATCGGTTTGAGATGCAGCAGGACATTCCTCCTGCTCCATCCCTGCCTCCCAGCAGGGCTGCAGCGATCCACCCTGGGCTCTGCCGTAGGCTCCCCGTCAAGAGGCAGCCTAGAAACAGAGGGACCATCGCACGTCCTCTGTAGGCAACGAGCAGGTTCACATCCGTATCGCGACCAGGACACTTTGCAGCTGACTCGTGCTAAAACGCACCCTCCTCCTTCCCCTCGCCCACACCCAGAATGAACTTTCCTGTCGCTGGTGCCTGGCCCGGAGGCGCAGCGCCGTCCCCCATGCACCACCTCGCAGTATTCATGCTGCAAACAGTTCCTGGTGGGTGGGTGGAGAATTTGGGAGTTTTCTAGGAAAGCAGGATCCGATGTCTGTTTGGGGCTGAATCCCTGGCTACGCTGAGCTCAGGTTAAAAAAAACAACCAAGTGAGCCAAATGTGGCTGCACCAGCCAGCACCTTGCCCGGCCGAGTCCAGCTGTCTCAGCTGGGCTCCTAGAAATTTTCTGATCTGGGGGGCATCCATGGATAGAAAGTATTCACAAAAACTCTCTTCCCCAGCTGGGCTTTATTAGCGCCTCTTCTTTGTGTGGGAGACTCTCCCTACAAGCCAGATTTCTCCAGCCCTTTTGCCCAGTCCTTCTGCCATCCAGTCGATGATTTGTAGCTGGGAAGCATGGAGGGATGCCTTCTGACGCCCTGCATCCAATTGTTACCATGCACGATCCCTCTCCCTCGCTTAGCCTGTGCACTGCTGGAGTCACATCTCCCTAACTCCGCTCGGAGACCAGCCGCTCCAGTCAGGAAAGAAAGCAAAAAAGGTTAAACCAAATCATCAGGACGCTTGGCAAAGTGGGATGCAGGAATGCTGGGGATGTCCCTCCTGCTCCGTGCCTCCTGCCTCCCTCGCCACCTCCTTGCACAGAAGAGCAGGAAAGGCAAGGCTGGAGGAGCAGGTCAGGGATGTAATGAGACGAACCCCGAGTAGTACCACAGTGTAGCATAATAGCGTCCCACTCCTGTCCCCCAAATCCCATCAGCGAGGGGAATGCCACGCTGAGGACACTGCACCCCATGAGGATGGTTCTGCCTTGAGTTGCTGGGTTTTTCCCCTGGGACAGGAGAGGGGGGCAAGGCTGTGCCAAGAGGTGCTGCCTCCCTGCCTGCCTGGCCCTTCGGGATTTACAGACCGAGGAGGAAAAGAAATGGGGGGCTGGGCTGACTGTCAAACCCTTGGCGTATCACTGGCGGGTAAGGTGCGGGCGCCCAAGGCACTCGCGGCAGACGGCCGGGAGATGCGTGGCAGTCCCAGGGGGATACTTCTTCCGAAGAGACCCCCCTCCCCTCCGCTCCCCCCGCCCCCGTGCCGTACCTTCCTGCGCCGGCGCCTCGGCGAGGCCGGGCACGCCGCGCTGCCCGGCTGCTACTGACCGAACCCTTCTCAAAGCCGAGTCCCGCAGCCCTGTGCGCATTAGAGACTCTTCATCACGGGGATGCCCCGCGGCGAGCAGCTCTTGGGGGTATGTGCGGGGGTGTGTGTGTGTGCGTCACCCCCAATCCCGTGCCTCCCATTGGAGGAATAGCATGTGCCCCCCTTAGTGGAAAAAGATCTGGCGTTCTTCTTGGAGGTCGGCTTTCTCCTCCGCATCACTCGTCCCGTGCCACGCTCTCCTCCAGGGCGGGCAGGGCCTCCAGGCTGAGCCCTCCGCCGGCTGCCCCGCTGCCGCCGTGCACGCTCGAGAAGGACACCATGGTGTGGAGAAGCATCAGGACCAGCACGCACAGTCTGATCCGGCTGCTGCCGAGGCGAGACCCTGCGGAGACTGGCAGCAAGGATGGGGAGTGGGGCTGGTGATACTGGTGGTGGTGGTGGTAGAGGTGGTAGTGGTTCTGCCGCTGGTGATGGAGGTGGGGGTCGTGGCGGTGGAAATGGAGTGACTCTGACGCTGTGGATTTGGGGGATGTGTTGTCGTTGCTGTCTGGGGGGTGGTCGCAGGAGTCCCATTGCACCTCGCAGCACTTGGCCTCCTCGTCAGGCAGCTGGTTCTCCAGCAGCCCTGCGGCAAGGAAGCGGAGGAAGAGGAGGGGGTCAGCGGGAGACCGTGGGCGGGGTTGCAGAGGGACCGAGCCCCAGTGCCTGCCAGCCACGCGCCACGGGACAGGCAGAGCCTGAGAACCGGGATACCCAGAGACCCCCTGGGACCTGCCCCCAGTGGGGCTGCGAGCCTGCGCGGACCAGCGTGCAGGCAGAGACCGCAGCCCTGGGACATGTTCAGGACACCCCAAATGCTGCTTGTAGCAGTTAAATGTCCCGGCCCTGCTTTAATCCCGTTACCTTCAGCCCCTTACATGCCTGCTTTAGCTTTCAGTTGGAGGTAGGGCTTTCATTTCCTGCGCTAAGCTGTGGGCTGTTGTTGCCGTGTCTCCATTAACCACGTACACCTCACCCCCAGATGGCCACGTTTCAGCAGCCAGGCAGTGCTTCGCGTGTTTCCACGCTGTACCTCCTCCCCCTCCGCCCCAAAAAACCTTCAAAATCTGGCCCATGGCTTGCAAAGTGCGACGGGGCTCATCAGCACCCCCCCCTGCCCCGTCCCCCCATGCCCCCTGGGGTGGGCAGGAGCCTGGCTCCGTTCCCTGGACCTCCTTACCCATACAGATGACCCGTACAGATGAAGCCAGGCAAACCTCCATAGATCAGCTCGTCATTGTCCGGTAACACAAACGGGCACCTGGTCTGCACCTCCAGGCAGTATTGCTTGCATGGGATCCGGTGTCGGCACTGGTGTTGGGTCACGTTGAAATACTCGGAGCACAGCCAGGCCTTGTAGACAGCCTAGGGGAAGCCACCGAGAGGGACATGTCACCTCCCCAGATGCCGGGGTAGCCGAAGCATTGCAGAGACACAGGGTGAAAGGGGAAGGGAGACCGAGAGCTTGGTCCATCATGTGAAAAATTCAAGCACCACTTATCGCCCGTCCCAGAGCATCTTCCTCCTCCCTGAGACACCCCGCTGCTCCCCCAGGGCAGGGTAGGGATTTACGCCTCCTCTAAAGCACTTTGGTCCCCATCAGCTCTGAACATGGGACATGGGACAGCAAAACAGACTGCGGGCTGATCTTTATCGGAAATTTCCAAAGGTCTCTGCCTGCTGGAAAAGCTGCTGGCCAGAAGCAGGCGGGCACCACTGGGATCCAGCGCACGCAGCTGCTGCAGCCTCAGGCTCGTCCCTCTCTGCCATCAAATAACACCTTCCTCGCCTTCCCCACCCACCAAATAACACCTTCCTTGCCTTCCCCACCCACCAAATAACGCCTTCCTCGCCTTCCCCACCCCTTCCTACCTGGTTCTGGGGGAGTTTCCCAATTCATAGAAATCTGGCCCTTTTCGTGGTGCTGTTTCTTTTGGCTCAAATGGGCAGACCGTGGGGGGAACACGTTCATTTTACAGACATATTTTGACACTCAAATGTACCAAACAGCGGTACAGATGCCCCTGTGTGCTCCGCTCGCCTTTCCACTGGTTAGAGCTGTGCTTGGCAACATTTCCAGAAGCAAAAGCAACCTGGGGGTTCACCTGCGACTGCAGATCCAAGGCTGTGCCACAACCCCTGCCTCTCCAGCCCGTCCGGTCCCCGGTCGCCCTCCCTCGGGTCCACTGCCACTGACACAGCCACTCGTGAGCAGGGGAGAGAAAGCGGCTTTCCTCTGCCGCTGACCGAGATGACCTTCCCCAGCAAAAACCAGCTCTTCCCTTCCACCCTCCGTGTATTCGTGCCCATCGCAGCTGGCCTGGCACAGCCCAGATGGCTTCGGTTAAGACCGTATGTCCCGCACCCCCTTTTATCTCCCGAGCATCAGGCACGGGTGGAAATTGTTTGGCTTCGCTCGCTGTAAAAGGGAGGGAGATCTTGTTTCTCATGGTCAGCAGTCATTCCTCAGCCTGCAAGAAACCCATGATGCCGCTGGGAAGAGCAGGACCCTCCGTGGCACTTCCAGCTCATCTATGAATGTATCCAGGCACGAGCGACAGAGTTAAGGTCATGTTAATGACCACATCCAGCTTCCTTTGAAACCAGCTAGAAAGGACTCCCTGCGATTCAAAGGGAATGAATTTCCCTCCTCGGCATGCTTGGAGAAAACCCCGTGCTCCTCCTTCCAGCTGCATTTTTATTTTCTGGAGGCTTTGAAAACATCACTTCTTTGTTTCCCCATGTTTCCATAGATCCTTATCATCACTTGTTTGGACCACGGTAGTGTCTCAGGATTAAAGCTGGTTGGGAAATTCTTGGCAAGTTATTTTAGCTTCTTTTTTTTTTTTTCCTGGAAAATGCCAAATCATGAAAACCAGAATTTTCATGGAAGCATGTTAGTTTTGGTGAAACTTTCATCACAAGAAGTTTAACCGGGACCAGGACACAATATATGGAGCAAGCCTTTCAGAGCAGTCAGTAGCCCTGTGGTCAGGGCTTTCAGCTGGGATGTGGGAAATCCAGTCCTGCTTTTTCTCCCCGGCCCATTGGATGTTAATTACTTAGACAAAGTGGAACGGCTCCAGAGAAGGGACCGACTCTGCAATCAGCCTGTGAGGACACAACCTGGAAGCAGAGCTTCGAGGTCCGGATCTGCAGCTGCCTGGGCTGATTCCCCCGGGGCCGAGGAGGAGGAGGGGAAACGGGCAGGACGAGCACAGCCCGTGCTCCAGAGATGCTCCAGCTGCAACGCGTGTCCTCCCCACCGGCCTCTGCTCCCTCGGGGACACTGTCGGGAGCAAGGGGACGGTGGGACAGTGAGGAGGACGCAGAAGGACCCCTCAGCGGGGTGGCACATGACGCTCCACAAGTGTGATGAGCTTTTCTCCTTCGGGAAAGCATCTATCATTGCTCTCCACGGGACCTCAACAGGACGTAAAGGAGGGTTAGACATCTCAGTGGACAGTGACATGTTATGATAGATGGGACGGAGAACCAGAAGGTATAAAACAGGCTTCAAACCATCCACTGACTGTCCAGGACTGTCCAGGACTTAGCCAGACAGGACGCATCCTTACTTCAGTCCGAGGACTCAGCAAGTCCTGGCCTTGACACGATGCCGTCATTTACGCACAACTACAGACACACATGTAATCTGGAGCAAAACGGAGAGGTCCCTGCCTCAAAGAGCTTGCAGCTGCAAAGACACGCTATGGGATAGCCTGAAACGTGGGGACCCCTCTGGGAGGGACGTACCGAGGATGGCAACCGAGACACGCAGCCCCAGGAGAGTGGGCAGCGGCCCCGGGCAGGGGCACCCCGCAGGCAAGGGCTCCGGCTCGCCTGGCTGAAGGCGATGCCTTCCCCTTCTCCCTGTTAGAGGGCACAGGCACCCCACTGCAGCCCCCACGGGCCGGGCAGGCAGCGGGCAGGCAGCAGGCAGGCAGCGGGCAGGCACGCAGACCTGCAC